CATAACGAAGCATGAGAAAACTGCACTGTGGCTGCTGCGAGAATTGACATTTTTCTGTATCATTTGAAAGAAGAAGAGGTGATGCTTAAAATGAACGGCAACGACCCTTTTTTGGAGTAAGACTGCAGCAGAGCCAGGCACATAGCAGGTGGGATAGGATGGCAGGTCAGACAGCATCAGCCGTCTTTTGGCCCTCTTAAATCCAAGGGATGGGTTCTCAAAGGCTTGAGCCTATGTTAAATCCACATGAGTATGTGTGTGTGTGTGTGTGTGCACGTGGCCTGGGACCCAGTATCTTAAAGGCACAGACTGTCTTAATGGTATGACTACAGAAGCCCACCACCCCAAGGGGATGTCCAGGAGGAGCTGTGCAAATCTGGAAAGGTTAATGCTTCCTGAATGCAGCAGGAAGGCAGACCCCACGCCACCCAACGTGGTCTCTCTTGAGCATCTGGTCAGCCCTGCCGGTCCTCCATGATATGGCCAGTACCCCAGGAGGGGCCAACACAGAGCTTTTCCTGCACTGCTGTGATCACAGGGTCTGCAGTTGTGCCTGGTTCCTGAAAGGGGATACAAAGAAAGACCAAGTTCTTTGTCTCCCCACTTCTTCCACCCAGAAGCTGGTGCCTGCAAGTGGATTTTGAGGTACCCCATTACTTAATGCCAGTGCTCATGTGCTGGTAGCAAGACCTTGGGGAACACAATGAGTTTGCACACTGATTTTGGGGCATGGGTTTGATGCTTCCTTTGAAGAGCTGGCCTGGAGACCACACACCCTTGACCCAATGTCATAGTATATGTTGAAAGAATGAAAAATTGCACATCTCGTTTTCCATGGGGGAAAAAATGGTAAAACATTACAACTAAAGAGGACTTAGTTGAAGGATAAGACCTTTATATGTGCTTTAGAGAGCCAGTGCTTGTCTACACAGGAGAACTCTTAGGCAGGAAACTAAGGGATGTATCTTATTCCAGGTTAGGAGTGGAATAGGCCACCATGCATATAGACACTCACAAAGTGCACTTAATGCACGGTTAGTGTAGAGCAGCTACTACTAATGCTATAACCACGCAGCTTGCTTTATTCCTCCATAATTCCTTAGCAAGCTCCTCCATTCTCCCTGGAGAAAGGCACCTGGTTTCCTTGTGTCCCTTTGGAAATCCCATCCTTTCTACCTTGCACTCTGGCTAAGAAATCACTATGCGCATGAAAATCTTAGTCCCAATCATATGGGGCTTCATACAGTTACCAGGATATAGCTGGGAAGGGCCTGAAATTGGAATAGCAGGAGGCCGTTGAACTGGAATATGTAGACAAAGGTGCATTCGAAACACCTGCACAGCAATCAGTCTGCAACTGGATGTTCACAAGAAAAAAAAACACCTCTTGGTCTAATGGCAGCAGAAGCTCGTGGCCTTACCAGCTTCACCTTGCCATGGCACCAGCACTGGAGGGGATGCGAAGGCTAAAAAGCAACTGAAGCACTGCCCTTTTCCAGGACCAGGCACAACAGAAATCCCTGCTTTCTACTTTCTTTTCCCTGAGACCAGTCCCTTTGTGAGTCCTTCCCTAATGGAGCAAGAGCTTCAACCCCACTTTCTTATCTGCACCACCAGTGAAGCTGGCCAAATGCACAAGGAAGTGCATGAACATCTTGCTAGGGCATGGCCCAGGGTCCCCCACCCCTGCACCCACAGCAGAGCCTCCCAGAGCTCCCCTGGAGAAGTTTGCCTTCACACCACACTCAGGTCCTAAAGACAACCTCTGGCTCTTCCAAGCACTGCAGAAAAAGATGATTGAAGCATGGTAAGAGTGAGTCCCAGCTGGAACGGATGCTGCATTGCCCTGGCAAGCAGCAATACTCCCAGGAGGACAGACGGTGTGTTGGGAGCAAGAGACGCCTGCCCGTGAGTGCCAGCTCTCCCGGTAGATCATGCCCATGTGCCTTTCTTCCTACCCGAGGCAGTAGGTAAAACCAGCCCTGCTGTGAGAGAGGCCAGTAACCTCCCCATATCCCACCTGTGAAGCAGCTTTTGGAAGCTCACCCCAATTTGCTTCACTGGGATAGCATGGGGCTCAGCAAGTGTATGGAAAACACTTTAAAGCCCCTGGATAAAAGTTTGACCTCTTGACAGGATCTACATGGGAGTCCTTCATTGACTTCTGTGAGCTTTGGATCAGGGTTGCTGACAGGGTTTGCATGTGCCCCTGGGCAACTGCATTAATTCCCCCATATTTCAAATTTTTTTTCTCTTGTTTTTTTACCCTGCAGCTTTTGTCAGAAGACATTTCCATTTCCCTATCCTGCAGAATAAGAAAGCTCTCCCAGTGAAATGGCTGCAGCAGAGCACTTCACCGGGACAAGAGGGCCACTTATTTCCTTGGCCTTTCCCCCAGTAATCAGAAGAATCAGACACTTTTGCCTCTTTAAATGGGGCATCCTATTTTACTAGTCTAGATGCTTGTGCATGTTGGAAAGAAGATTATACAGTGTTTTTATTCACATCATAGCCTCCGACTCCAAGTCCAGGTGGCCCCCGTGATCTAATTAAATGCCCCGTGACTTACATGATAACGTTATTCTTATAGGATTGTACCTGATGCATACCATGGTGGTAACCCATGCTCCTCTTGGTAGGCCCTGTGCATGCAAATCACGTGCACTTTGTACTACGAGGAGAAAAGGCATGTATCTTGTAATGTATCACGTGGTACTCATCCTACTGCTGTACTTACCATGTAAGCAAGCAATCAGCCATTACCCTGCTAATAAACGGAGTCAACTTACCTGGATCAAGGACGACACCTAAAAAATGGTGGCTTAGTGTTGTGTGTGTGTGTGTGTACACATACGTACATACAGTATAGTAGGCAACCGTTGATCCTCTGGATCGTGGTGTACTTATAAGAGGTCTAGGCAGGTGCCTGATGAATCCACTTGTATGGAGACCTGTGACCATCATACCCAGACCTTCGACGCATACGCCTAGGCAAGAGTATGGAGGAGTGGAAGCTGCCCAAGACCTACCATCCCCTTTTAGACCATCAAGACAGGATCCAAACACCAGACCGAGTCCAGACATGCAGTGCCTCCATGGTTGCATTTTCTTCCAGAGATCAACAGATGAGAACTGCTGCCGACTGCCTAATGCCCCGGTGAGGGCTCGTTTCTGTCAGCATGATGTCCCTTAGCCTCTCTCCAACCAAGGAGTACCCACAAGGCAGTGGGGGCTAGGGTTTGGAGGTGCCCTATACTCACCTTACACTGGAGGTTGCAACACTGTGGGATTTTATGAGCTATCCCCACCACGAGTAGCCCCGGCACGTTGCCACCGGGCCCTTTAGGCAGATGCAATTTACAGTCATACCCAGGACCAACACACACACACACACGTATATGTATTTATATATCTTTATATATCTATAAATAGATTGATAGATAAATAATCTATACCTATTATCTATATAGAAATGGATATATAGATATAGATATCTTTGTATACACACACACATATACATATACTATATATATGTGTATGTGTTTGTGTGTTACCTTAGCTATGTTAAACTGCCCCGTTTCTTTTAGCCAGATCTGCAGCTAGTATGCATCTGTGTCACTTTAATGTATTTAAAGTCGAGGTTAGTCCTTACCAACTGACGATGTGGCCCAGTATTTAAAATAAAACGTATACTGCATTAAGACCCCCTAGAAGTCAAGCAAAAGAAACTGCTGTATTGTTGGAAATGGCTTTCTGTCCCATCCCTTTCCTGGGTTTTGTTTGTTTGTTCCTTTCCTTTGTCTGTCCACATTCAGCTCCTCCTTTTTCTCATCCTGGTGCATGGATTCATTGCCCACACTGCAGAACTGCATAAGAAGCATTTTTAGTTCCGCTCAAGACAACTAACTTGGTTTTAACCAGATGGACGAGTCTATTTTTATCACCCATATTTCTGGCACATTATGCAAGGGTAAAGTTTGCCAGGGCACTGCGAGGAAGACAGCTGTACGTTGGGATAGAGTCTTAATCACAGCCAAAGTTGGACTTGCCCTGTTGGCCAGCATGAGATCTCAAGGTTCCCATGTTTAATTATCTATATAAAGCATCTCAATTTGTGACCTCAAATATTCTTTGCTTCTGATCTCCTGTCTGGCCTCCCCAGATCTCCTCCCTAACTTTGCACTGCACATGGAGACTTAAATTCCTAGCCTGCAGAAGAGGAATGACTAATGTAATGTAAGTAGCCAAAACAGAACATAGCACCCAGGAACCAGTAGCTTGTCCAATAGGCTTGCCCTGACCTTCCATTTAAATGGCTCCCTGTTGTGTAGACGACAGTCGCACAAGTGTTGCAAGTGTGCAAGTGTTAGCAGCCTTGAGAAGGATTATGCGGAGTGGAAGCAATGCTTCTGATAGTGTTTTATTTGCTGTGGCCAAATTCATCCCCAGTGCACCTCTACCTGAAGGCAGTGGAACTATACCCGTTACATTTCCACTTAAGTGGAGACTTTCTCTTCTTGTTTTAGTTTGGAAAACTACACGCTTTCATTAGTGCTGAGGAGAAAAGCATGTTATAATGAAAGACCATTAAAAGGAGATCCAGTCAGCTGTAAAGATTATCCACACACCAAAAAAAATTTTTTTTTAATTGCTGTTTATGTAATTAGTAAGAATAAAATACTGACTCGATTGGCGGAAACTTGTCTGAGAATGCAATTTTTCCCAATGGGCAAATTTGCTGTGCATAATGTGCCAGATAATCTCCTTGTAAACAGAACCAATAGACTTTAAACTCTGCCAATACCAATGTGAAAATATAGATACGTGTTTGCATCTAAGATAAAACACTTAGCCAAAACTCTCTATTCCTGAGTAATTGGAAGTTGGGAGAGAGGCTACTGCCGTATCCCTAGGGAGCGAGAAGGCAACAGTTTTGTCTCCCTGATGTATCTGACTAATTCAAGAGTCTTTTCCGGGGGGGATGTTTCTGTTCCTGGTAGAGTTGACCAGATTGTTGGACGAGGGCCATCAATGACAGACAAGGATCGAACCAAAGGGCCAGCAGAAGGGGAGCTTCCCGAAGACCCTAGCATGATGGGCAGACTTGGAAAAGTTGAAAAGCAGGTATGGGCCAGGTTCAACGGTAGAACAGGGGTCATCCTAAGGAATATCTTCCTTAAGGTTATATATAAAAAAAATTGCATGTAATGTTTTTTTGAGGCATATAAATGATTTTTAAAAATTGGAAATAAAAAAAGTTATTCTGTTTTGAGAAGTGACTTAGATACATGGCAGTCACCAAAAGCCAAGAAAAAATGTCAATGACACTCAAATGGCTAAGTGGCTAAATCACTTGAATGCCCTTGAAAATGTCACCCTTCTACACTAAACTGATTTCAAGACAGACTATGGGCAGGTTTTATTGTTGCTGTGGGACCCACATTCAAAATCAATGTATAGCCATGCACAAGGTCTGTACAAAGCCCCAGGTACCATTTTCCATCCAAGGGTTGATCCAAACCAAGAGGAGCCCAGCTGGAAGGGCTCAAGGAGTCTCTGCTCCTTTTGCAATCAGGTGAGCTCTGCAGATATTACTTAGCAAAAATGCCAGGCATTGAAAACAACTTGCTCTAGTGACCAGGGGATGTGTGAAAGGATACGTTAGAAGTATTAAAAAAATAATAATAATAGCCTGTCTAAAAGCAGAGCGTGCCTTCCTCAAATTCACACTAGATTTGGATCCCAGACCCCTCGAAGTCCAAGGACTTTTGATGCTGCCCATTGGTGCCTTTGAAATTCGGAGCTGGGGTTGGGGGCAGGTGCTTTTGTATCCAGAGGATTGGTCTGCCCCAATCCCTAGACAGCTTGCAGTACTGAGACTTTTGTTTCATTTTTCAGGTTCAGTCAATGGAGAAGAAGTTGGACTTCCTGGTGAATATTTATATGCAGCGGATGGGTATCCCGCCGACGGAAACAGAAGCCTATTTTGGGTCCAAAGAACCAGACCCAGCGCCCCCCTACCACAGTCCAGAAGAGAGCAGGGAGCACATCGACAAAAATGGCTGCATCATCAAGATCATCCGGTCCACCAGCTCCATGGGACAGAAGAACTTCTCCGCCCCACCAGCTCCGACAATGCCAACCAACACGTGTCCACCCTCGACATCGTGGCAGCACCCGCCTTATCAGCGACAGAGCCACGGGTCCTCCCCCGTTGGAGATCCGGGCTCTTTGGTACGAATCCCACCCCCGCCTTCACACGAGCGCTCCTTGTCAGCATACGGCGGTGGCCACAGGGCCAGCGCGGAGTACCTGAGGAACGAAGACATTACCACGAAACATCACGAGAGCGCCATGAGAGACAGCGACACCTCTATTTCCATCCCGTCGGTTGATCACGAGGAACTGGAGCGCTCCTTCAGTGGCTTTAGCATTTCCCAGTCGAAAGAAAACTTGGACATCCTGAACAACGGTTGCTATGCATCAGTGGCCCCCTGTGCCAAAATCAGACCCTACATCGCCGAAGGGGAGTCGGACACCGATTCTGACCTCTGTACGCCTTGCGGGCCTCCCCCCAGGTCAGCCACGGGTGAGGGACCTTTCAGTGACATGGGCTGGTCGACTCCTAGACAGTGAAGCATCGTGATGCTCTACTGGGCCCAGTCGGAGCACTGGCCAGCCGCCTGTCCACACCGTCCGCACATTGAACTTCTCAAGGAGATTTTCAGCTAAGGTTTTACCACTCCAGAACTTAGCTGGTGGATATTTTCTTACAGCTTACTCTGGGGGCACATGCTGAGCCTGCATTTGGTCGAGAAAGGCCAGTGGGGTGGAATAATTTGGAGTTTGAAGCATCTGGATTTCTTTCGTACTCTCTTTCTAACATAGGTGAAACTTTATCACAGTGCAAGGTGGGCAACGGCATTTCTTGGTAACCCTTTAAGATAAATATTGCCTGGGGGGGGGGGATCTTTTCGGGGAGATTTGAAATAACAGGTGACTGACAGTATTTTTTTATAACGTAATTACCACGAAGAGGCACCAGGGGATTACGTACTCAAATACTTTGGAGTTGGAAAGCAAATGTCGTGATGCCAGTCTCATAAGTCAGATTTCGGCTGATGGGGTCATCACCTTGGGATTTCCAGACCGCGAGTCCCCATCAAGCATTGGGAATGTGGTGTAATTGTAATATAATGCACTGAAGCTTGAAAAAGGCTCTTGAAAAGAAACATGTTAATGTTGAGGTAGTTGAGATAGTGCAGGGTAGAATAGTGTTGGGTACTGTTTTGAACCAGTTGGTCAAGCGGTTTAGGGTACGAGGATGTTGGAAGATTCAAAATATATGTTTCAGGGCTAAAAAGGAAACACCGGGGAGGAAGAGTTATTTGGGACACCAAGGAAAGACAAGAAAGACCATCAGAAAGGAGGAATTCTCCAATGTCAAGCTGCGTATTATATTTAATAACATCCTTTCCAAAGGGTACAGGATGGGGGGCTGTAATTCAGTAACTTGAAGTTGCTCTCCTAAGCTTGCAGTTTTGCTGAACAAGCGCCCACGACAGAATTACAACCTCGTGGTGAATCACTGATGGGAGAGGGGCCTTGCGTTACAAAAAGTAGTGGTCGCTCCATTTTTGCAAGAAAAGTACCAAGCGCTCCATCAGCGGTTGGGTCTTGCCACTCAAGGTGTTGCCCATTTCTTTACACAGTTCGCATTGTGCCTCAATGCTTCTGCACACCCTCTCCTTCCCTCCCATGGTCCCATCCTTCCTTTGCTACCCCATCCCGAATCACGCAGACGTCCTTGGGACTTCTCCACCGTTTTCATTGGGAGCCCCGTGCTGAGCGAAGAGGTGTTTCTTCTGGCCTTTTATAAGCCTCCGGTCTGTAATTTAGCCATAAGTGCTGCCAGTGAGAGTCTACCCTTTCTTAAAGGAAAAAAAGAAAAAAAAAGATCTTCTCTCTCATAAAAGCCCAGTGCAGATCCTGGGATCGTGAAGCTACGGGGAAGGTGATGAAGTCAGTTTTTTTCGGGACCAAAATAAAGTCACAAAGTGATCCTTTACTAGCAGAGATGTGCAGACTTTATCCAAGGGGACTGATGTGGGCATTTCAGGAGCCATCTCCAGGGCTGCTACACAGTGGTCATTATCTCGCTTCTGAATCTTCCCATGTAATTAGACATCATTAATGTGCATGTTTGGGGAAGGAGGATAAAATGCAGTCTGGGCTGTCTCAGTCAGTCCCTCTTTCTAACCCCCGTCTTTCCATATGAGCGGTCAGTTTTCCTAGCATTTAAAGAGGTGGCATGCGTCCCTTTCTGTTGGGCTTTGCCGTACCTGGGATAAGTACAAAACCTCAGTTTGGCAAGGCTGAATGTTAAACTGCTGGCGTCGATGGGAAAAACCATCTCTTATTCTGTCACCTCCACTACAAGCTAATTAGGAGCAAAGGAGGGAAAATGGCAGCTTTGGCCTTAATGACCCCCCAAGTCGTAGGCCCCTGAGGAGCTATGCACCACCTGGAAGGTGTCAGCTGCCTGTAGGGAAGCATGCATCTCCTTCACAGGAACTCAGTTGCAAGGGATGTCATGCAGGAAAGGAAATCTCTGCCAAGAGAGGTGGCTTTTTGGGGCTTCAGGATGGAAAATGAAAGGGTTGCATTGATGCTTAAGCACGTGGCGGGGGAAAGGATCTGTATAGTCTTCTCAGCCAGTTAGCTCCAGCATAGGTGGGTAGAGAAGTGAAGGGGAAAGCATTTCTTTTCTAAGGAGGTCAGTGCATCCTTGGGTCCAGGGGAAGGACCTTTGCAGACCCAGCACCTCCTCCCCATTCCTCAGGTCTGCATTGATGTAATTTGCTGCTTGGGGGAGGGGGATTTGGACACACTCAGCCCTATACACCTGGATGATACTGCTGCCAGTCCTGGCAATAACCATATTGTCCCTACCATCACACATCATGGGTTTCAGGCATTAGGAAATCTGGCCAACTTGGTTGTATTCAGAATGGGTATGATGGAGTCCCTTCACTCTATTGTCTTCATAGCCTGTGACGATGGAGAAAATTGAGATAAGCCCTTGGCTCAAAGTGCTCTTCTGAATCAAGGGCTATGAGAAAGCGGAGGGTTGTTTTTTTTTAACTACCTATCATGTTCAGAAAGAATACATTTTTAGATACCTGTGGTGTACAACGTATCCCAATGCATGGGAATAATTGGGGTTTTTTCTGGGTAGGTTTCAAAATATAGAGTTACTAGTGAAGCCACAAGGAAAGTCAGGACAACCATCCAGATTCAGCTCTGCAAAAGGCCACCTCTTGTTGATCCTCGCAAACGACTCTAGTGTTCACCCACAAGAGCACCATGGATTTTAGTGGAGTGACACCAGATTTTTGCTGGTGTGAATGAAACCAGAAGTCGCCCCTAATAGATGCTTTTTGTTGCCTAACCCCTTACATCCTTTTTCTCATCCCAAATCATACTCGACTGCTCTCAGCAGCTTCCTGCTCCCTTCCTTTCCCCACCTCCCTTGTATATGCAGTTGCTGGCGAGCCAGCAATGCAACTTTTTCTTAGTTTCTCAAGTTAGTGGTTGAGAAACAACACATTTTTGATGAGAATGTTTGAATTTTTGCTAATAACAGTGTCCTCCAATGAGGATGTTTAATGAAAAATGTTACGGCAACCTCTGTGTCACTGCTGTTTGGCATGTCTGCAGCATCTGTGTTACTTCTGTTTCTCTCTCTCTCTAATCTCCGTATGTTTGTAAACACAGAAACTCGGTTTTGGTGATGCCAAGTTGTGGCACAAACCCAAGAAAAGCTAGGAAAGTCAGAGGTAAGAACAACACGGCGCCAGGCAAATTTTGAGCTGAATTTTCAATGGGCCTTTCTTAACTGCATCTGGGGTATTAGTAACTGTGACACCTGGTTGCACATACAGAACCGGTGTGTGCACACATATGCTTGTGCACATCCATGCAGAAACAGAAGCAGTGGCCTTGCACTAAAATCCAGGATCCGAACTCCAGGGAACTGGGGGTGGGGGATCTGGATTTGAATGTTAAAAATGGTCCCCATCGGTGTCACGGGCCATTCCAAAACCTTGGAGCAGAGACCACACTGCACAACAGGTTGTCCCGCCTTGAAGTTTGGGGCCCAAGTTCTTGGGTCAGTGTGCGTCTCTGAAAAGATGCAGTGCATCTCACAAAATGACCCTGAGACTTGAAAACAGAGCACTTGCTCTAAGTTGAATTTCCCAACATTTGGGAAAGGGACTTGACGTTACTTAAATGCAGGTGTTGTATGCAGATTTCCTTGTTTGCTCCATTTCTTAATAGCCGTGTTTAAACAAAGGGGGGGGGGGGAAATAATGAGAAGCAAATCGTTTCACCCAAAGAGCCATGATGTTTCATTAAGCGAGCAATGTAGGAAAGAATATTATTTTTAATGCTGCCTAATGGAGCCTAGCCACTTCAACAAGGTCATTCCTATTTACAGTATAAGTAGAAGTACTTGTACATTTTCAATTTTAACCTTTTCAGTTACGTGGTTTTAAAAAAAATAATATTTGCATTATGCCCTGGCTAGACCAGATGAACTCCAAAGATGTAGTAATTTGCTTACTTAATATTTACCCAAGAGAGTGGAAAAAAACATATATTTGCAATGAAACAATTGCTAAAAATCCATAATAAGGAAATAAGAGTCAAGAATTAAAATGTATTGAAGTGTGTAAGTAGAAAAGGTGTTTCTGGCATAATTGAAACAAACAAGGAAGTCCAAAGTTATGGTTGAAATGTCAAATTTAACACCTAGTGGAAGAGTGCCGTGGCATTGTTTATAGCAAAGATCTGACTCCGTTTTAAACATGCTTCAAGCAGAGGGAAGAGGCAGAAATCCAACTAATGGAAGAATAATGTCGTTCAAAATAGGGAGGTAAAGTCTGGAATGAGATTCATCCCCCGAGTCAGGGCTTCTGAAAGCAGAATTTGGCCCTCAGATATGAACATCTTGACTTTTGGCTTACTCAGAAACCTCAAGTAATTATGTAGTTTAAATAGGGTTTTTTTATATATGAATACATGCTTGGGTTCAGTTAATAATTTGATAGGAAAAGGTCATCAAAAAATTCTTAATTCAGAATATTTAAAAAAAGTTTCAAAAACAATAATTAAGACTTAAAAACATCACATTTACTTTAGACATAAAAGAGAAGGGGTTTTCTTGGCTTGGCTGATGTACGCCTTATTTCTGTCACATTCCCAAATAGAGAGCTTTGAACTCAGTCATTTGAATACCTCCATGTCCATAACTGCTGTCTCTCCAGCTGTTCCCTACTACAGCAGTTCCTTAATCAAGAAGAGCGTGTGCTGTTCAGCAGTGCCAACAATTGCCAATGTGCTACCAGTGGGGCTTCAACACTTGATCCAGAAGAAATAGGACTTAATTTCCACTAGCTAAGATGACAAGGGACCAGATCTAGCAATGGAAATGGGCCATTGGATGCAGCTTGGGAGAATGATTATATGAACAGACAGGTAGGACAGTAATGTTGATCTCTGAAGAAGGTCACCCCCTTCTAAGTACAGCTAATGCCAACCCTATCAATCATGATTTTCATCTGTGGTACCTCCCGGTATTTCTTGAGGGGTGACGGGAGATTTTTGTCTTTGGGCCGCACCAAACGTCAGGCACGTTGAAACAAAATTAGAGCAGGAGTATCTCTCTTTTTCCTTCCAAAAAAGGGCTTCTGTCCAGTCTTTGCCATTGCTCAGTTCAAAAACACAGACAGCGAGGGTTATTGCACTGAAGACAATGG